CAACATCCTCCTTTCTCATGCATTTTGTTGCTTTTCTTCTGCATGAGTTAATTCAGACTAAGTATTAGCCTCCACAGAGGAGGGGGGAGGGGTGCGAGAGGTAAACTATATCTATGCAATCCCGTGTCCCACTGGGCCCCGGTAAGTTCCACGTAGTGGTTCTAGTTTATCATTATTATGCACAAAATGAAACAGTGTATAAAATTTATACACTTCTCTCACTCGTCGTAGCCTCGGGCTGATTAGGGACCTTACATCCGACAACGGCGATGTCCATGAAAACGTCTCTGAAAAACAGACCTCGCATCATTTTATACTTTTTTACGATTATCCCAATTCGCCCTGTTACTTAAAAGAAGGGGATTTTGGCTGGAGCTGTAGAGAGGGGAACGCGCTCAAGTTCGGACAGAGATGGTAAAATTTATCGCCTTGCCGTTCCCGTCCTCAAGTAAACTTAAATTTGGTCATTTCGCGTCGTAGCTGTGCCGTGAAGGTAAAGAAATGTAGAGAAAGCGTGATACACGTGCAGAGTTGTTGTTTTGCTCATTAAGCCTATTGTTTTTTGACCTTCCCGTTGCCGTCGTCGTCGTGGTTTCGTAAGTTCTCTATTATGAAGCCAAAGACCCAAACGGTTCTTGGGCTTTACCAAGCCAGTTTCGGGTTCATCGATAGTGGACTACTCTGCTTTGCATTTCAACAAAATTTCTCAAGCCGAGGACTGTTGCAGCAGAAAGGTAACACATTCTCTAAGGAATTTCGCATGATGAACAACGGCGGCGATCGGCGTATGTAACATATGCTTAGCGCCCTTTTCGAGGCAAACGAACCCGAATCGAACAAATTTGGCAAATTGCGACCGCTAAATTAAATGGGAACAGCCCTTTGGGGTTTGTGTAAGTCCGTCGTAGACAGCTTCTGATCATGGCATAGAGAAGTTCAGAGAAGAGCTTCCCGATTGGCCTTAGGTCAGCGAAAGGGCGAGATGCCATACGACGGTCGGCCGTCGTCAAATGAACCGCTTTGCCCATCGTCGTTAAGTGATAGGAGATTAAACTTATTTTCGTTTATTGAATGTTTTAAAACTGTATTCGATTTAAATAAACTCCGTTTTTGTGATTACTTTGAACTTGCTTCAAATTTCAAACTACAATTTAAAATAGCGAAATTTAATTGTTATAAACAACTCTACTTTTTTTATTCGAATTGTGCGCAAATGGGACAATTAATTTCCCCGGCTACGGACGTCGTGCATGCACAGGCTGCAAATTTACAGATCATATCGATACTCCTCGAGTTTGATTCGGTATTCGAATTTACTTTGTGATCGTTACAATGTTTTACCCCCCCCTGAGTCACAATACATTTCTTGATCTCACATTATTATATATTAAGCTAACCATTTTATTTATGTGATCATATTCACAGTTTAGAAACTTTCTGATCTAAAGATGATTTATTCCTTTGGTCTCATTTTGACGTTGATATGTTTTGCTGGATCACTCTATGTTTTTATAGCATTTTATTGCCATTTTTGGATGGTTATCAAAAGGGGGGTTTGGACAAGAAACAAAAGAATGTTCTTGGTGTAATGCCTCAAGACGATCAGTTGATAAGTAAGCTTTTTTTACGCAGGTAGAAGTTCTGAACCAATTAAATTAAAAAAACCTTTATTTAGATAAGATAAGAGTTAAAGTTTGACCATGTAGTATAAGAGAGTTGTAGTATCAGAAAGGTTAATTAACTATGCATGACTTAAGCAATATCTCGCAAAGTTTGCTAATACGTCAGTAAATGCGAGATAATTAATATATACCGCATTGAATTTCCGACCCGCAAAGAAAAGGCCTTTTTGTTTATATTCAAATCAAACTGTTATTGTTAAAAATGTGCAGTGCGAACTGAAGCTGAGCACTAAGCCTCAGGCTAGCCATTCTGTGATTATCATTGACGCACGCATCTATTGATGTGCACTGCTGATAGATTGTATTGAAAATCAATCATGGCCATCAAACCGGTGAACTGGTGAAATCATGAAATTATCTGATGGTTTGAACCAGCATTGAAAGGGTTAATTGTTACTTTTGGATCACCCACCTAGTATTATAACAGACTTCGATATGTAAGTAGAAAGATTCCATTTACACAATTTATCAGATACAGTTTCCTCGCGCACTCCGTTATGGATGAACCATGCCTATCTTCGTTATCCCACAGTCACTGAACTCAGTGATTTTTTGAATACTGAATACGTTCGTTCGTTGTTTTTAACTAGCAGTGTCTGAAACGTCGTTTGCAATTTTGACTGCAAAACATTCCGTAGTTTTGTCTGGTCAAGAAAGTGAACAGTCAACGAAAGGTTTGAAGCTAGGCTGAAAAAGAGAAAAACCGATTTTGAAAAAAATCACTCTTTTGCAGTCTTAACCAACTTAACATTCCTCATGTTTAAACTAACTATTTTCCCGTCATCTTTTCCCTCCGCTGGGTCTGTACGTTTATCCTTTTTTTTTTTTTTTTTTTCTATTTTACTGATTGTCACCATTATCCTTTCTTTCGGGAAGGCATGAGAAAAACCCAAGGGAAAGAATGACAAGTATGACAAGAAATTGCAATGAGACCAGATTTTCCATTAATCTTGCTTGCAATTCTTCTTGTTTTCTGCGCTTATCTCTTGCACATTTTATTGATTGTGGTCTCAGACGAGAAGATTAGTATATTTCAAGTGTTTATCATCGTTAAACTCGGCTTTTTCGCGTAAGCTGGTGCAATCCGTTTATTAGGAACGCTGTTAAAACTATAACATGACAATAACCTTGTAAACGTAGAGATTGCTTTTATATGCTGATATCTCAAGAAATACCAAAAAAATCCATCCTGTGAAAATAAGGTTTCCTTTTTTTCGTAGGGTCATCACTGATCTTTTCATCACCATTTTTCCTGCAGTCTGATCAAGATCTTGGCAAGATGTCACTTGATGCCATGGAAAATGACATTACTGATAGTCACAGCAATTTTATCGATGCATGCCTACGCAAAGAAAAGGGATACGCAGCCAAGCTGAGTTGGGGACTACCATTGTAAAAGGTCTAAGGATTCATTTTCGTCATTACATTTAGTGTTTTATCATTATCGATCAGACAGGAACGCTAAGCCACCCATTAAGATGCTTCGCTCAAGGAGAGGTTTCATTGCAAAGAGGTGCGTGATTCTTCAGTTCTGTTGGTCAAGATCAAGACAGTGGACGGTTCGGCTGTCAGAGATACACCTAACCCTCAAACTATTACAGGAGGCTCATAAGAGTTGAAGGAACTGAACCAGAACCAAAGAAAAAATCCAAAAGAAAGAGAATATGCTGAGCAAGCACACAAACTAAGAGAGTTTCCGAATGTGAGTCCAAATCTAAAACTGCATGCTCTTGAAGAAGTTCTTCATTAGGAAGAGCAAATATTGAAGAGTTAAAAGGCAGAGGCGAGATAGTATGGACATATGAGCAAATCGAATAAAAGAAAATGTGTTATGAAGAGGTGCAAAAGGGTTACAGGAAAAACTTCGTTTTTGATTGAGCTGATGAAAGCTTATTGGTTGACTAAGATTCTATAGTTTACGTCCAGTGATGAGATAAACCATGGTCGTAGCAAAAGAAAGACGGTTATCCTGTCTGTGGATTCCAAATAAAAGAAAATTAAATGTCGAACACCTTTCTCGAAATTGAGCACATTCAATATCACGTGGAACACTACCTAACAAGGCGGAGAAATAATGCACGTTTTCTTGGGAGATATGATCTGAAGGACAGCGTCGACCCCTCCGTGCACCGACGGCGGTTGACAAGTTTGCTGCAGTATAAACTTTTTGACTTCTTAAAGTGACTTAATCGTTGATTTAACGCCGAAGAGCAAACCCGGCTACCCTTTGAGAGGATATTGTAAAGTTCTTCATGGCGCAGTTGCTCTAAAAGGCACAAAGAAGGTTAGCTGGCTAGGCACATTCTTAATTCTAATGAATGGCACATTTTAAAGGTATATAAGGGCACGCAAAAACTTGCTAGTGGACTGTTTTTCTAAAAAGTAAACATCTCAAAATGTTAAGGCCGAATTTTTCTTGGCTAACTTATTTAACAACAAAAACAATTTTTAATTATAAAATGTTTTTAGACATAGCTCAACTACTAAGTGGAGCCATGATTTCATTACTCTGAAGGGCTTGGATTGAAGACTGTATATTTCTTTTAGCTTGACATACGTCTACACATGTCTTCAAGGAACTCATTAGGCAAAAGCCGTATATTTTTTTCAGAGGGAAAAAACGGAATATTTTGTCTGTTTTCTTTTTAATTGCTTTCTCTTTCATTGACTGAAATGTAACTGAAAGCAGATCGGAATCAAACGGTTACATATGGCAGGTTCTTAATATTGGTATTGGTACTTAAATATAGCCAAGTTTATTCTTATTTCATTTTAATTAGTTGTTTTTCTTTTATTTGGATGAAATTCTCTCTTGTCAAGCATATGTTCCGGATACTGAACCCGGTTGTGATTCACAGTAGTTTTCTTGCTCTTAACGTTCAAGGTAATGTGTAAGCAGGGTTCCCACAGCCTTGAAAAGTCCTTGAATTCCATTTTTTTAAAAAAGATCTTAAATTTCTGTACAAGTCCTTGAATTTTCTTCAGCTTTAAATTTAGTGGGCTGAAAAGTGTTTTTTGATGCTTTTTGGTTGTCCGTCCAAGACAGAATACAAATCATAGCTCATAGAATTTAAAGGTTATTTACACAAAGTGATCAATGT